TATTCTACCTCATGGATAACAGCCGTTTTTTCTTGTTGCTGGGGATATCGATCGGCTTATATGCTGCAGTTTCTTACTTCTGCTCCAACCATGAAGCAGCAGATAGACAAACTCGGGGCCGTTCGCAACGCAGGTCTGAGAAGGCAACCCAAAAACAGAACCCGTTAGAAGGAATTTAGTAGCAGATTATATGTTCTATTTTGATGAAGAAGACCTAGATGCAAATAGAAGCATCGATCACAAATTCTTTTTGTGCAATATGTCTTTCTCAGTTGAGAGATGATCCGATGCCGATGCATGCATGTGGAGTGGTCTTTCAGGGTGTAAGCATAGTTTCCATTCTCGTTGTCTTTATGCATGGTTGGAAAGAAACAGAATCTGTCCAATATGTAGGGCTAGTGTTCAATTTTGGACATCGTATTAGTTGTATGTATAACATAGGTCCAAGGTTGGATTGTTAATTTTTTTTTTTTTTAGGTTGGATTGTTATTTTATTATTATTGTTATTATTATTTTAGTATAAGTAAGAAGTTTCGAACTTACACTTTCTTCTCGCTCGTACCACCGCGCGACCCGATCCTCCACCCATCTCTCCCTCAATTGGATTGTTAATTTATTATGTCTTTCTGGAGCAATTTGATGGGTTTTTTTGGGTAGGTAGACTCAATTACTTTTCTCTGTTCAAGGGGAAGCCCAAACCTTACAATATGGGAAAGGAAAAGAGGAGGAAAAAGGGCAGGACCTTATTTTCTCTACTTAATGATCCTATTCTTACCTATTACATTGGTACTTACTAGCCAATTAACATGAAGATCTTACCAGCCACTTACACAGAAGACCAAGATTGCACTCTTAAATTGTGTAACCTTATTACCTAGTGTTCCTACCTAGTAAATCATTCCATAGAAGACGGATTTAGCTTAGTAAAATTATAAAATTATTGTTAGTGGAAGATAATTTAGATTTCATAAAATTAGAAGCTTGACATGTAAACCAAGAGCGATCAAAGAAGCCGTGAAACTTAGAGAAAAAATTATTATGGTGAGTGATATAAGTTCATATAGTATTAACATTAGTCAGGTTGAAATTTAATTATCAATTATAATTCTTTGTTTGGAGTCACGGAGGGAATTTTTCATAAAAATAATTAAGTTCCTCAATGGTAACATTCTTTTACTACATAAAAAAAAGGCTCTTAAGGTACTAGAGTATTGGTTGCTATAGGAAGCTAAAACTCTAAAACAAAATCAAATATATATCCAATGGATTGTTTTAATTAGTTAAGGTGAAATTGAGCAATTTTAAAATTCTAAAACATAATGAAGCAAATACTTTTGTAAAATCAATTAATTTTATTGCTATAGCCTACTGCAGGAAAGCAGCAGCAGAAACGACACGAATTCAGGGGTGCGGAAGTTTCTATGGGGTCTGAACATAAAGCATAAGCTTAAGCATTTTATTTGGAAATGTCTCCAGTGCATTTTGCCAGTTAATGAGACAATTAGGAGGAGAATTGGAGAAGGTAATGATAGGTGCTGTGTTCGTGGAGAAGGGACAGAAACGTTGGAGAACCTTCACTTCCAGGTTCGGCTCACAAGAGGTTTGAGGGCGTTGCTATTGTCAATTCAAATGGTCGGTCGAGGACAAAGGATTGCGAAGTCGCAACCGAAATTATGAAATCAAATTTTCAGGCTTTCCAACGTAAGCAAACGTGCTTCAAGCGTTCAACCTAGGTGCTTGGGAAGTAACCGCAATTGTGCAATCAAATTTCTCAAGCTCTCCGATTTAGTCAAACGTGCTTCAAGCCTTCAACCTAGAGAAAGGGATCAGTGAGAAGAACTTGCCATTTGGTTTTTACTGGACTGCAAATGAGTTAAGTTAAGTTGAAATTTAGCTTAATTGAGTCGAACATTGACTTAATTTTACCAATTTCATGCTTGACGAACTCTCAATGTGAAGTTCATGCTTGAGCTCAATCTCAAATTCAAGTTGAACTGAGCTCAAGCTTGAGATTAAAAAATAAAAAATTAATTATTTTATTTTTAAAAAATGAATAAAATAGTAATTTTTCTTAATAAAATAATAAAATATGAAGAATATATATATATATATATATATATATATATATATAATCGAGTTGGCTAGCGACCTAACGACCTGAATATTTTTAAGCTCAATTTTGGCGTTAACTGAATTCTAATCAAATTTTGACTCGAGTTGCTCGTGATCAGCGCGAGCAGCTCGACTCATATGTATCTCTGGTTTCCCTTTTGAGTAGCTTTTTAATGGACTTGTCATCTGATTCCTGGAGCAGCCTGAGTAGTGCTGTTTGCACTATAATGGACTTGTCCCAGTCGCATTTATTTTGTTTCTGTATTATTACTAAATTTTCTCATAGAACAGTACAAATATTTATCCTTAATTTCGAGTTTTCTTTTACTTTAAACAATTTGGCTAATGGGCGTCCAACCAATTGAGCGCCCGTTAAAAAGGATTCAGGCAATATTTTTAAGAAATTTAGTTAATTTGACAATTGAAGAGTTTAAATACAGAAGGTATAATAATTGTAATCATGCGTATTAACATAGAAAATTAAGTACTACAATGAAGTGCAACTTAGTTAAGTAAAATACTTCACCTGTGCGGCCATGATCTCAAGTTTGAGTAAACAACGTAGTAGTAGCTGATTACTCTCATTCTTTTTCAAGAATGGCAAAAATTGCAGATCCCCTTGTAATTGGTAAAATTGTTGGAGATTTTGTTGACAACATCTCCCCCACCGCACAGATGTCTGTAACCTACAACTCCAACAAGCAAGTCTATACTGGGTACAAGCTTTATCCTTCCTCAGTTGTCACTTGTCAATAAACCAAAAGTTGAAATTCGTGGAGGTGATATGAGATCTTTCTTCACGCTGCTAAAATTAACATACTTCCCTATCCTTCAACTCTTTCTCCATTTTCTGAACTTGTCTTGTATATTTCATTTCTCTATCAGTCACCATTGCATTCAATGAATTTCTTTTGATCTTGCAGTTTGTGACAGATCCTGATGCTTCTGGTCCTAGCGATCCATACCTTAGAGAGCACTTACACTGGTATGAAACAGTGAAAAAATAACATGTTATACTAGCCGCTGATGAAACATCTAAATAGAGCTGTCAAATTCGACCTATACACAATATAACAGTTTCCAATAGTAGAATTTCATTGATCTTTCTCATTGGTAGACCCCCTGGTAACATGGGTCTGTTGCCTTTTTTGTTCCTTTGAAATTTGACTCATAGTTATGTACTTACTTATTAATTTATGCTTTAACAATAGTATCAACTTCACAACTTTGCATTGAAGATTATCTTTAACAAAAGCACTCTTCGGAACCTGTTTAACTTTGATAGCAAAAAGTTCATATTTTCAACACTAAAGTATTCTCAATTTAGGGGACCGTTGGATAATGTAAAAATTTTGTCATGAGCCAGTTCCTTTCTATTATGTGCTTATTCTCGTAACGGATCTTCTGTCCCATATTCTGTGCCACTCTCTGTACCACTTTTTCTATATTGCTATTTCTCCTTCATAAATATCATGTTTTATTTTTTTTTTTGTTTCCTTAAGATTCGATAACTATTAATTCAGTAAAAAATAAATACAACAGTTTCAAAAAATAATATATAATAGAAAATTAAAAATACAGCAGAAAATTCAGAAAAAATCTCATTTTTTTATGCATTTTGATTTTTTGAGTTTGTTAAATTTTGTGTATTACTGAATTAATAGTTATTGGATCTTAAGGAAACAAAAAAGAACTAAAATATGATATTTGTAAAGGAGAAATAGCAATATAGTAAAAAGTGGCACAGAGAATGGTACAGGGTGTGGGATAGAAGATCCGTTGCGGCTTATTCTGTGCACGTTTCGTGCCAAGAATAGAAAAAAGGCTAAAATAAAATGAAATAAAATAAAATCGGGAGGAGATGCAAGAAGCGAGAAGATAATACAGGCACTCTTAGAACTTACGTTGGGCTTGATGATGGTAATACTTAGTAATAGCAGTAGATGCCTTTGAAATTCGTAAATCATGCATTATACATGAAATTAAAGATGCATGTTAACTAGTAATTGAAGAAACTAAGCCAGGCTTGGTTTTAACTCTTAGTCTCTCAATCAATAAAATTTTTGGCATAAATGTCTGAAATATAGGGAATGAAAATCTTTGGTAAAGAAAAAATCATTGATAATATTTGGCATACTGCATGGTTACACACAAATACTTGGGATACTATATGATATAACGCACTACTCTAAACTTGATTTGACAACGTGGCAGGATTATCACAAACATCCCAGGACGACAGATTCCTCATATGGTACGTATGTGCTCTTTCTTTTTATTCAGGGAGAAATAAAGCACCAATAAATAAATTAGTTTTCTTCTTCTTCTTTTTTTGTTTGTTTGTTAAGTTTTTATATTCATCAACAGGTAGAGAAATGGTGAGTTATGAAATGCCAAGGCCAAATATAGAATTTCCTTATATAACATTAGAAATATTCATCCACGTAAATAGATTAAAAAAAAAGGAAAAAAAACAAGCCGTGCAGTCAAAATATCTATTTCGGTCCCTTATTATAATCGAAATCGTTTATATAACATTAGAAATATTCATTTTTTTTAACTTTTAACGGTTTTGCTAATAGGTGCTCTACCCATTGGGCACTCATTAAAATGATCTGAACTTTTTTTAAAAAAAAAAATTATAGTTAATTTGGTGAAGTGTCTAAATACATGTTTAACTACAGAAGGTGCAATAATTGTGAGTGTATAGACTAACATAGTAATTAGATAATAGTATAATAAAATATAATCTAGTTGATAATACACTTCACTTGTGGGTCATGATCGATAGGTCTCATATTTGAATCGTCAAGAAGGTAGGTGTTGTTCTACTATTGATCTTCTTTTTTTAAAAAGAATTAGAGTAAATTTCTTATATTTCTGACCTAATGAATTTTCTAGGTATTCACATGGTGGTTATCTAAAGCTTCATTGGTTTGGAGTGCAATAAGGCTCGTGGCTGGATTGAAAAAAATTTGAGACGGTGATGGTGACAGAAAATATTTGGAGTTCTTGGAGATGACTGTAACATTCCCATCATGTGGAAAAGTTGCTCAATAAAAAAAAAAAATTAAATTAGCAGCCTTTATTCAAAGAAACATTTAATATGTCCTTTTATATTCAAAGAAATATTGACGTGTGTGTGACACCCGTAGTTTTATTTTACTATGAAGAACTCAAATGTTTTATTGTTATTTTCTAAAGTAAGCATCTATATATATATACTAGGAGGTTATCGGCTGTGCTAAGCACAGCCTAGGCCCCCTATAATCTATTGTCATATAAAATAAGATTAACAGTAATGTTTGCGAAATAGCATTCTTAAAATTATAAATTACCAATCAAGTATGCAGCTAACAATATGAGACTAAACAAAACAAAAAAATCATTAGCATTGCAAAAGAGAAGAGAAGATGACAAAAGATTGGCAAGTAGTTTGACAAATAGCTTAACATCTTCAAGTGCAAGTTAATCTTACAGAGACAAGAGATGACTTGCTAAATACTTAATATAAAGTGCAATCATAGGCTGCAATTACAAAAGATCACATATTGAGATCTATTAAGGTGCACAAAAGAACAAGTGGTTAATTGATCACAGCCAATGCCCATTGAGATTAATTGATTGCTGTCAAGAAGTAACCCTATGCACAAAAAAAAAAACACAAAAGGGACATCCTCATGAAATACACAAAAATGAGTCCAACATCTAGTGAGGATTTATAAATTTTCAATATAAAAGGTTCAAGAAAACATGTCAGAAAACTAAACTTTCCAAGACACAACTAAGAGGATAAACACTTCATGATAACCAAAATTGAAACTTACATCTAATAGGCCATAAAAACAGATAAATAAATGAAAAAAATCCAAAGCAGAGTATAAACTGTAATAATACATCTTCCCTAGCACACACATGTAGTCTTATTGCAAAAAATCATTTTTTCATATTCCTTTTTAAATATCAATTAGAGATATGATTTATACATCTTAATATTTTTTCCCACACTGTAAAAATATAAGTTTTAACATATTTTTTCCAATAAGTCCTAGACAAATAAAAACCTAAGAAATTACTTTCTAAACACATAAGGCTCATAACTGGCATATTTGTTTTTATTTTTGTGCCATCAATTAAATCATCTCTTATCCAATCTCTATGTATTATGAAAAATTTATCAATTTTTCATATCTCTTCCTGTCACTAATCCAAGGAATAAGGAGAGTGTTTATAAAATTAAATAAAGGCGATGCACTTATATATGCTTTGTAAATAATTAACCTAGCATTTAAACCCCTTCTCATTATGTTTATACTCTCATTAGACAAAAAATATCAATTTTGGTATTTATTTTCCCTTAAAGTATAAATAATTTTAAAAATTTATAAAAAGAATAAATAAGGTTGCATTCTAAATATTAACCTTGCATTTTAACGCTCAGGTAAGGACAAAAATATTAACCTTGCATTTGAATGCTCGGGTAAGGACAAAGTGTCTAGGTAGAGAATCTAATGACTTAGAACTTAGAATAATAATAATTTCCTTAGAATAATAATCATTTCCCAACTTTATTTTCACAAGAAAATGCTCAGTTTTTCAGTAGATTAAATTTGCTCATATTTAGCATTGTCATTATTTAAAAATTATTGGCAACTTAAGCATGCTAATTTCAAAACTCTAGCTTCAAAATAGAGTTTTAACATCTACAGGAGTACAAGGAAGAAAAGAGCAGGGACAAAAAATTATTAGAAGTACCGAGAATTTTTTGTCAGTATCATAGAGTAGGCAATTAAATAGCAAGAAAAATAGTAAAATAGTCAAAGCTACAGAAGTAAAGCTAAAATTGAATCACAAGCTCAAGACATACAAATTATTAAATATAATTCAACAATTGAATTTGACAATCAAAATTAAGGCTCAGATTATTAGTTAATAAAAGCTTTGCTAAAAGAAGAGCACAAGCATTTGAACTCAACAAATAGCCCTATAGATTCCAAATAAGAAAAATTACTCTTCTGTGACTCACTTATTTCTCCAATTAGCAGCAAGAATAAAACAAAACATTTTTGAATAACCTAACAGCTAAAAAGAAGCAAGAAATACCTATTACTCAATTGATGGTTGCAAGATTTGTTTTAATTTGTTGCCTCCTACAATAACAACAAAAATTCATTCAGATACTCACCAAATAAATGAAAAAGCATTCTTCTTTTGCATCGTTTATAGTTTAACGTAACCCACAGGCAGTAGTGGAGTTGTGGAAGCATGCACATTTTACGTGAGCAACAAGTGCCCATTTCCCATATGGCCTGCCACTGCCCCGAACCAAGGCTTTCCAGTCGTAGCAAACGGTGGCTTCTATCTTCCATCCGGGAGACTCCGGAAATTCCAGGCACCAGGAGATTCGAGTGGCCGCATCTGGGCCAGAACAGGCTGCAATTTCGACTACTCCAACGACGGACGAGCCTGTGAAACAGGCGACTGCAATGGGCGACTCGAATGCGCCGGGGTGATCGGCGTTCCTCCTGTGACGCTAGTAGAGTTTACGTTGCAGGTTGACAAGAGGCAGCCGAGTTTCTACGACGTAAGTATAGTGGATGGCTACAACCTCCCTGTTTCAGTGACCCCATATCCTACAGCACCAAAATGCTACATCGGAGGGTGCTTCTCAGATATAAAAAAGGAGTGCCCTGGGGAGCTGGCGGTCCTGAATGAGCTCGGAACTTTTTCTTAAGAGTTTGATATTATCAAGCCACCAAAAAAGAAGCAAAAAACAATCATTTTACGCTACACTCAGTTTTCAAAAAATAGGAAAAAATTGGAAAAGACCTTTAAGTTAACATAAGTTTTGAAACTTACCAGTGAATTCAATGCAGAGAAGAAGAAGAATCTGGACAGCAAGTTGAGTGACAATGTTGAACCACTTAGATTACTCTAAAATCCATCAAATGGCCAACATTTGATTCAAAATAAAGCTAATTTATTAGTTTTAGATATCAATAGAAACACAAATGAAGCAATTCTTTTGTTTAAAGAACCTTCTCAAGAGATCCAAAAAACACCATCTAGATTTATTGTTGCATTTGCAATCAACCTCAGAACCAATTATCCCAAGTTTCAGACAGACATTTCATCAAACATTTGATAGCCATGCCTATGAGATTTCACATATTCACTTGAAGGCAGTGTCATACTAAAACCATTTTTTGAGTTAATGAAGCAAATATAACATAAGCAATCATTGTAAGGGATCATAACATACCTGAGATAAGTGATAAGAAAGCATCAAAACAGGGAGTAATAATACTTGAAGTATAACTGAATTTGTACGAGAATTTCGGAAGAACAAACTAAGCTACCGTTGGACTAATAAATGAAAAAAACAATGAACTTTGACAATTAAAAGTAAAGCTCCAATTTGTTTGTCAATGGCAGGCGAAGAAGAAGAGCACAACCATGGCTGCAAACTCAGTTGCAGTTCTGGAATAATATATACTCCAAAATGCATCTGAGTTTCCTCGCCAAGATACAGCTTAAATCCAGTTAGTATCAAGCCTGAAACACAACTCACGGCAACAATATTGTATCATCACAGCCGAAAATGAGAACAAAATAAATTCACCTATTTCTGATCTTCATCTGTTGTGAAAATCCAACAAAAAAATCAACACTATATTCGAACAAAATTTAGATTCATTAAACCCTGGTAAGGAAATAAAAAGAAGAAAAAACAAATGTTCAAACCAAAAAGGAAATAACAAAAAATTGTACTTCCATATGAAATAGCACATACCGAATCAAGAGGGAAAAAAGCCAAAACCAGAGTGAACGAAGGTTAGAATGAGAGTGTGATTAGAGAAAGAGACGTGCAAATACAGATAAAAGGTACAGGCTAAGTGAATAGGAATCCTACTTCTCAGCAGAACTGGAATAAGGGAAAAATCACATCCAAGCAGATATTTGTAATCGTAATCATACGGATGATGAAGGTTGAATAGAAAGCATAATTTGGGTGGAAAATTGAATACCAAAGCTGATCAGAATAGAATGGCATACCTAAAAAAAAATTCCCCATTTCACTCCTTTGAAGTACAACTATCACGTGAGGCTCCAACAATTCGGCAACATGAGACGAAATCGATACAGAAACGGGTTAATTGGATATCAGAGAAAGAGGGAAAAACGGCTAGTGTAAGCAAAGTAGTTCACCTGCACCCAATTCTCCTGCTCTGAAGTACAAAGGCCATGTGAATGATCAGCAAATCAAGCGGCTGCAGGAGTAGCAGCTGACCTGCTGGCTTAAAGAAGGAAGTCACAAAGAGATGAGATGGTGGGTTTGGTAGCATAGCCGGTTGGGATGGGACTTGCTCAGAATAGGTGTGCTGAATTTTGCTCAGAATAGGCGCGTGGTAGAGAGAGCAGGAAAAGGCTTCAATGCAATTTGAGGGGAAGACGGTGGAATGGCAAAAGAAGGAAAAGAAATAGAAGACTTCGGTCGGTCAAGAGAAGCTTTGTAAGAAACACTTTACTTGCCACTTGTCAGATAATTAAGGAACCACGTGGCAAGAGGAAAGGAAAGCATTAAATCTGGCTGTTTTCTTATATACAAGGTAGATATATACTGTTGCCTGGTCATTAACAAGTCAATTTAAGAAGTATCTGTTGCTTCATTTGTTAACTGCGTTTTTGGTTGTTCCCTATCCGGATTTTGGGTTTGAATGAATTTCTCGCCTTTGGTTTGTATATTTCCATATGTCTAGCTTTCTCAGGTGCTTCACTTTCTAGGATAAAAGATTTCTGTATTTTCCCAATGAGCCTTGAAGGAAAGAAATTCCTTGTTCCCTTTTACAATGTAGTTTGTCGATCAATTTTTGCGAGAAAGCTAAGTCAATAAATTATACAATTTTTTTTTTTAATGCAACGTCTTAGGGGGCAAAGCAATGGAGAGGGATTACACATATGATTGTAGGTATAGGCGGAACCAAAAAATTTCCCTTCAAGGGTTGACTCTAATTCAACTAAAGTTTAAGCATATAACTTATGCTTCAAAAAAAAAAAAGTATATAACTTAAAATATTTTTAAATTTCTGCACCGAAAATTCTTGAATTTACGCAGAATTTTTTTTAAATTTTCAATTTTTCAAAAAACTAATAGTCCTTTGGACTGTTGATCACCACCAAAACTTTAAGTCTTAGTGAAGTGAGAGATAAAGAATTCAAACCTTACCTTCTATCAATGTGCCACTATATGTGATTTCTTCAAAATTCATACGAGTAAGGAGTATACTTGTAACTCGTCTGATCTGATGGTGGGTCATAAGAGAGATTATTAATCAATAGTAAATTAAAATACTTGAAGTTGAAGGAGGATTCCCACTACTCCCTAATTCCGCCCGTGATGACAGAGATATTAATCAATAGTACATTGGAATATATATGTGATTTCTTCAAAATTCATACGAGTAAGGAGTATACTCGTAACTCGTTTGATCTGATGGTGGGTCATAAGAGAGATTATTAATCAATAGTGCATTAAAATACTTGAAGTTGAAGGAGGATTCCCACTATTCCCTAATTCCGCCCGTGATGACAGAGATATTAATCAATAGTACATTGGAATATACTTGAAGGAGGATTATATATGCCTGTAAATTTATGTCCTTAGCAGATTACAAGTGACAACAAACTATTCGAACCATATGTTTTCTTAACCATGCATCAAGTTGTCAGTCTCCAGATATGTGACAATAGACCATTTGAGCCTTGTCTTTTCCTAATCATGCATTAAGTTGTGAATCTCCAGATGTATGAATTCACTTTTTAAACTACATATAATTTAGCAGTTTCTTTTTCTACCTATTTTTTCCCCTTTTCTCTGCTATTTCTTCGTCAAAGTAACTACGTACTTCATGACCCCAGAAAAGAATTCCGTTTTAAAATATCCATAAAAACAGATTATTAGAAAAAGAATAGGTACAAATCTTATCTATCGACATAATCTTTTTAGTTTATACCAATCCTATCATAATTTTGCCACGTTTATATTTCCTATATAAATTAGGTTGTATTTGTAATCCAAAACAGATTAGGACCATCCGATCAGAGACATCTTGAGCCCGTATAATTACAATCTTGCCTTTACATCCCAAACCATTCCACCTCTCCTAAATCTAATTAAATCTCTTAAATAAATTGCAAGATGTTCTTGCAATTTATGTGATTTCTACGCTACTGTTAACGCGTGTCTTGTATATCTGGAAAGTGATCCAAGATTCTTGCAGGGAAGAACCACCATGGTGGACGATCGATGAATCTACCAGCTTTAGCATCAGACCAGAATTGGCTGCAGGAGCTGAAGAGATGGTGGTTATACATATTTTGGGAGATGAACGGTTTTCAAGATTACGAATTTCTTGTACGGAACATCAAGAAGAAGATCCAAATCATTTGTGTTGCTCTGCATTAGCATAATTTCCCTCTATTTGAAAAACCATGCTTCTATAATAATTTTTATAATTGTTGAATTATTAGCTTAAAGTTTTTGCGCTTTAACATCGAGTGTTTGGTAGTATTTTATCACAAATCAGCAAAAATAATATTATAGATACGCAAAATCACACAAAATAAAGACACTAAAAATAATTAAATCGTTATATCGTTTCAAATAAACAAAAAAAATTATAGATACACAAAACCACACAAAATAAAGACACTAAAAATAATTAAATCGTTATATCGCTTCAAATAATATACTGAACATGCATGCATGCATTCACAGACACACACACACATATATATATGAAAAAATATATATATGTAAAAATATGTTATATACCTATATCTACATATTAAGAATCATTGCTTTTAAGATGTTGAATACTTAACATGCATGCACGCACTCACAGACACGCATATATATATATATATATGAAAAAATATGTTATATACCGATATCTACATATTACGAATCGTTGCTTTTGAAATGTTGCGTTATATAATAAGTACAAAGTAATAATTAATTAGATCCTTATTTATAAATGAATAGTCATTCATTGTCTACCTAATGAACATTCCGTGATATAAACATCAAAATGAAATCACAAGTAAACAAAAAAAAATATTACAGATACACAAAATCACAAAAAAAAATTCATGAAATCACAAGTAGACAAAAAAAAGGGTGAATTCTTAGTTTATGATGGAAAAAAAAAAAGAATTCTACAACGAGGGCGATTCTTGGAGTGTGTTCTGCAAATAAGGGTTTTCGCATTCCGGAAATGCGAGCTCACTGAGCTCGCATTCCCCGAATGCGAGCTCGTGAGCTCACATTCCGCAAATGCGAGCTCGAATTGGAGCTCGCATTCCCGAGCTCACTGAGAGCCAAGACAAGGAGGAAATCATGCAAATATTGAAAATACTTCATGCAAGATGGTTCGGCAGCAGGCTCGTGGCACAGCCTTTATGGTGTCTGATTTAGTTTCCTTTCATCCGACTGCAACTAATGACTTGAACAGTCAACACTTAGACTATAGTAATAAAAATTCTAAACATTTTCCATCTTTTAGCCGCAAAAATCCTTATGTTTAAGCACAAAACAAATTAGATGAAAGGATCATGCGAGCATCAAAGAACAGTTTTTTCTTCAACAACAATGCTTCTGCAAATTTCGATGCAGAAAAATCATGCAAAGCTTCAAACAAAACTAGTGAACCTATCACCCCAAATACCCCTTAACACTGAACACTTCAAATGAAACCAGGGTTATTGATTATAAACACAAATCTCAGCAGATCAGAACTTGCGGCCAAACAAAGACAACCAAACAGCAACTGAAGTAGATAAAGTTTCAAAGCCGCAAGTCTGAACCAGCAAACTAGGAGTTCATGCAAAGAAACATTAAATTAGAGCTCGCATTTGCGGAATGCGAGCTCAATAAGTAGAGCTCGCATTTCGCGAATGCGAGCTCTATTCTAACCTCGCATTCGTGAAATGCGAGCTTTACTAAGCTCGCATTTCACGAATGCGAAGACCCCCGGACGGAATTCATTACCAAAATCACCCCTTTTGTAGAATTTTTTTTAAAATTCATCACAAAATTAGAAATTTC